AGAGGGAGAGGGAGAGGGAGAGAGAGAGAGCAAATTATACGCATTTTAAACAAAGTAGAATAGCAAGCAAAATCAAACATGTTCTTAGATGTGTAAATCTCCCCACCTTTGGACAGTATCAGGATGTTCCCTTGTCTAAGTTTCCCTGGATGCAGACCCCACCTTCTGCCTTCCTCCGTCACAGAAATTGCAGCCTGATTCTTTTCTTTTCTGCTTTTGTTTCCAGTTGAGCCTCAGGAGTCTACATGTCCTGGCAATGTGGTTATGCACAGTAACTCTAACAGCCAGGATGGAAGCTGTATCTACCTGAGAAGGAGAAACGGACAAAAACATCGGCATGCTAATACCCTCTTTGGGGAGGGCATGGGCATATTGGAGATCTCTTGCGCCATGAATGAAAGTGGTTTCCAAAACTGTGGAGATAGCTTAATTAGCAGCCATGCTGCCTGGGCATCACGTTTCAGTTAAAGGATTTGCATGCGATTGTCACCTGGTGACCGAGGAAGAAATAGCTTTAATCAGAGTGCTGATAGAATGTAAATATAAAAAAGTATAATGTGTGGTCTTGAAGTCTATAGCAAGCGGATTGTTTCCTAAGAAGACGTGGATATGCATACTGTTTACACGTAAATAACCCCCCACATGCAGGAATGTGTACATCTGAGTAGGATTTTAAATGGCTCCATTTTCACAGAGAAGCCAGGGCTCGTTCTTTTCCTGAGCAGGATTGATTCTCCACAGCTGGAGTGGTGCACACAGCTCCCAGACAATTTGTAATGAATTGAATTTTCCTCCAGCATACCTAATTAGTAAATCCTTCTTTTGTTATTTAAAAGGATATGGACACTTTAAAATAAATGTATGGAAATTCTGCTAAAATACCAGGAAAGCATTAAGCCTTCATTGTCTCATACAACCCAGAGTTTGCTAAGCATATATCCAAAATTCCTCAATGCAGTTTTCCCGTGCTGTATTTAAATGTTCACGACAGCAGCACTAGCAACAGCAGGCAAAGGTTGGAAGCCAGAGGAAGTCTAGCAGCTGATAAAAGGATAAAGGAAATACCGTATAAACATGCAGTGAAATTTAGTCACAAAGAGGGGCGAGTGTGGATTCTTACTGCAGAGCGCAAGAGCCCGGAAACCATTGTGTCCATTCTAGCTGAGAATTCTTACCCCCAAATCCTAAGAACCTGGATGCTGAACAGGCTCTGTCCATTCAGATTCTTCAAATCTCTGTCTTCACAGATGGTATTTTCCTCTGTATTTAAGGTGAGTGTCTTTTCATGAGAGTCTTGCTCAGAGGAGAACAGAGAGAGAGAGAGGATTTCCAGTGACCATTTAGCATTTGTCTTTTTTTTTTTTCCCATTGTCAATCTACCATATTGTGAATACAGGGCTGGTACCTCTCCACGAGAATTGTGTGACATGCTTGGAACAAACAGGGAGAGAGTGGGCAGGAGTGGCCCACTCAGCGTCCACTATTTTCCGAAATGTCAAGCTACTAACTCTAAAAACCAAGAGTGAAAAACCAAATTGATGAGTAAGGAGGTAAACTGAGTGCTCCTCTGAGGAAGGTCTCTAGGAGTGTTGGCGTGGGTATGGGATCTGGGGGAGGTAGAGGAGCAAGAGCAAGTGAATCATAGCCTGTGGTGAGTTGGTGAGGAGCACTCACAGAGGCACACCTAACAGCCATTTAAAATCCTACTCAGATGTACACATTCCTGCATGTGGGGGGTTATTTACGTGTAAACAGTATGCATATCCACATCTTCTCCCCACAGGAGCTGTCTTGAGTGAGCAGAGAAGATGGAGGGGCAGGCCTGGACAGCACACTGTCGCTCCTCTTACTCGGTACCTTTTGGTAGACAGTGAATTTGGATTCTTGGGTCTCTAGGTCTTATCAGATGTTCCAGATGGGACCAGAGTCTTGAAAGGTCCCTTTCCAGTTCAAAAGTGATAGTTTGGGATTTTCCCAAGCTTACCTAGTTGCTTCAGATTCTTATTCTTAGAGATCATTGCATTTGAAAAGAAGTCTTATAAATAAATGATTTCTGAATTCTCTTGTGTTGTCTTTTTCCACTAAGATCAGCTAGGGCCTTAGCTAACTGTGCTTTCACTTACCATAATTGAAAGAACTTGGTGAGCTCTACAGTTCTTTTTCTTTTTACAATTTAAGTATATTTTGACATAATAACAGTGAGCCGGTTTTTACTCACAGTATTTCTGACACAAAAAGAATATCCAATAATTCAGCTAAATACTGAAACTGTCTACCTAGGGTTAGTGTTAAATCCTGAAAGCTCAACTTCTCTGTCCTGCAAGACTACTTCCTGTTTTAGATGCTGAACGGAAGTCCCTAGCTTCCCATGTTTTTGGTAGATCAACTATAAATTGAGGATGCCCACCACTCTGGTGCACTTGATAATTTACCAGTGAGATTCATTTAATTCACAGAAGTGCTTTCATTATTGTACTGGTTGGTTATAGAGCATAAAACTCAGAACTAGGGGTAGTGAGACAGATGAGGAAGTAAAAGTATGTGTTGCCAAGCTTGATGACCCGAGGTCAATCTCTGGAACCTGTATGGTAGAAGAAAAGACCTGACTCTTGCAGGCTGTTGTTTACCGACCTCCACATATGGCCGTGCTGTGTACATCACATCCACACAAAATAAATAAAATGGGGTGGGGAGAAAAGTAAGACAATAAGTCAGAAATTGCCAAATGGAGGAACTTCATAGGGAAAAATATGAATAAATATGAATGGGATCAGGAGGGGGTACCATCTCTCTGTCCTTCAGTGTGCTCACTGAAGTGGGAGCTCTGAACCCAGTGTCTAGGGATTCTCATGGAGTAGATCATTACACAAGTGTAGTTCTTTAATATAGTTAGCTTTGGGGGACTAACTCCATCTCCAGCCCTCCCTTCTTCCCCACTGGAGGAGGGATGAGCAATCCAAGCATTTTATTTTTATCTATCTATCTATCTATCTATCTATCTATCTATCTATCTATCTATCTATCTATCTATCTATCTACCTACCTACCTACCTACCTATTTGTTTATTTTATCTTGTATTTAGACAGACAAGGTCTCCCTGTACAGCCTAGGCTAGCCTTGAACTCACCATCTTCTTGCCTCAGCCTCCCAAGTTGGAATTACAAGCAAACATCACCAAACCAGATGGCTATGGCTAAGCTCCTGACCAAAGCTTGTTCTTCTTGGTAACCACGCAGGGACCAGCTAGAAGGCTCTAGTCACCAGTTACTCATTAGCAGATGAATGATGCACTGTTCTGGAGAGTCCAGGGTTCTACAAACTGTGTCAGAAAGAGGGTACAAACAAAACAAAACAAAATAAAAAAAAACCCCAACAAACAACAACAAACCCCAAAAACAAAACCCTCGATATTTATTTATCTAGAATTACACTATTTATTTGTGTATATATGTGGATATGCTTGCTACAGCATGTATGTGGAGGCCAGAGGACAATCTGCAAGAGTTGGTTCTGTTCTTTCCTTCACCATGGGGTTCCCTAGGATCGAATCCAGGTCAACACACTTCACAGCAAGAGCCGTTCCCCGTGAGCCATGTTGTTAGTCCCAGAGACTTGTTTTTTCTTCTGCCGTAGTCATGGAACAGTTAAATGTGATACCCCAAAGACCCCAATTTCACTTTTGTCACTGAACAAATTCAAACCTGTTCTGTCTAGTTTGCAGTGAAAATAACACATCAGGAAGACTGCCCTGGCTCTTCATAAAGACACTGCATTTTAATTAACTGTGAAAATGGCTTTGTGAGGCATACAAGGACAGAGCTGCATGGTGGAAAGCTAACGGAGCCAGTCAGGAAAAAAAAATATCTAGCTTGAGCTGTTTTACTTAAAACCCTCAGTTCTAAACTAAATAACCACTTAATCCCTTTATTTAGATAACCAAAGAACACTTAAATAGAAATTAAGAAAATGGTTTTTAGGAGTTTTCAGACCAAGGAACCCAGCTAAATGGCTTTTGTTGATCTTCCCTTGAGGAAACACAGCCTATTTTACAGCTTCTACATTCACCAGCTGATTCAATAATTGGGTCCTGTGACATGCCAGGCTAGGTGCTAAGGATTTAAATGTGAGTGCAGCTGGTCTCTGCTGCACACAGCCTCTTCTGCTCTGAGGTTGCAGCCGGTGGCTCATTGGGCAGCTCTGGGAATAGCCCATCTCACCCTTAATAGTCCCCAAAGCCAGAGGGTTCGCCCATCCCGAGTTCCCATCTGCATCTTGAGAGAGAGAGAGAGAGAGAGAGAGAGAGAGAGAGAGAGAGAGAGAGAGAGAGAGAACCACATATCCTTGAAACGATGTCTTGGTTGAACTACGTAGGTCAGCACTGGGTTTCTTTCAAATGTGTTTATGATGGGTTTTGTTGGCTCATGTGTTTTATTTTCTTTTTGATATGTTGACTCAGTTGCTCTACAGTCTCAGTGAGTCAGTCCAACCAACGGGTCACAGCCAGATCCGCACAGTGCTCTTTTTTTCCTGAACTGTTTTGTTAATCTTACTGAGCAGTCACAAAGTGCTTGGGGTGCCTCTCTGAAATGAGGTCACAGGGAAGCAGCAGCAGTGGGTCACCCCGAGCTACATATTGAAATAGAGTCGGCTTCCCTTGGTGTCACCTGTCACAGCAGCTCAGCAGATGACGGTGGACTCTGCAGGAGAGTGAGAAGTGAGGGAGTCAGGCTTAGGGAAAGCCTCCTCCAAATCCCTCTGCCTCATCCCATCACACGACAGATAAAATATGTTTGATATAGATAGCTGTATATAAACACAACCACAGCCAGGCACTGTGTGTGTG